ACTTTGTGTCCTGGATATCCGTCACCTCCAGGCTCACCTGGTTCTCCTGGCATGCCTGAGTTCCCCTGCACACATAAATCACAGAAGAAGCAAAAAGCCAACGTCTCAGTGACGTGACATCAAAGAAACCTTTCTTACCCCACGACCCCGGTTCCCCTTGGATCCTGGATATCCTTTCGGTCCCTTCGAACCGTCGTCGCCCTGAAGACAAAATGCCGTCTCAATCACCACAGAGTCCAACATACTTCTAGCTTACTTTGGCTGAACCACATGGTAGCATCAAAATCTTAGTGTGTGGAAAATGGAAGCACTCACCGGTAAACCAGGGTAACCAGGAAAACCAGCATCTCCCTGTACAGAGAAAGGAAGAAGCAACGATTTCACAATTAAGACAACAAAGACTTTCTAAAATGTTCAGCCACATGTGTAAATCTGTTTTACCCACATCATTGTCCAGCTGAACAGCACCAAAGACATCCCCATGCCTATGCAGATGATACTAAGCTGTATTTTTCCACTAAGCCCCCAAATCTCAACAAGCCTCCCAGACCTCAATCACTTCACCACTGCCAGTGAAAAATGGACGAACGTTCCTTTTTCTGAATCCTGGTAAAACTGAGGTTCTTCAGGTTCTCATGAGAACTTGGGAGGGAACATAAATTTTGGATTCTGCCAGCACAAAGTTTGGGTGCGGGTCACTAGTGACACAAACCACAGTGTATCCTGAGAGAACCAGAGCATCTTCTCCTCCATGAAACGAATAGCTGAAACTAAAATCATGTGGCGTTCTTCTTACTGCTTTTCATTGTTGATGAAAACAGAATTCATTCAGTTTTTGTTGTTTGATGTTAAATTAAGGTTCAGCTCTACCTTGGAACCTTTCGGTCCTTCAGGTCCAAACCCGTCACGACCATCCAGACCCTGAACACAGAGAAAGTCATGCATGAGATAAATGCATTGAATTACAGATATACACAAGCTCAGCTCATGTTCGGGATCCTACCGGCATTCCTCTGGGTCCCGGTGGTCCCAGAGCACCCTTCACTCCTGGTTCTCCTGGTTGGCCCTTAAATAACAACCATGGACATTTCTCCATCAGAATTTACACCCCCATCCAACAAAACCCTGCCAAAATATCTTTCCATTTATAAAAAAAAGTACATTATTTACAGGCTGAATCCAGTTTTTTTCACATTTTAAACGTTTAAACTGCTGCTGTGGTTTATGGCCATGATCCATTTGACCCAGCGTTTTTATACATTTTGATGTTTATGGTTTATGTTTAAGTTCATCAGGTTATTAAGTTCATTTCTATTATACTGAGGTTGCTGTTACACTTTATTGTTTATTACAGTCCCCTGGTGTCTTCACCCCGTGTGTTTAAGTCTCCCTCACCCTTCACGTGTTTCATGTCATTATGTTTCCTGTTTTATTTTGAAGAGGTCTGGTGTCCCATGTTCATTGTGTTTAGTTTCACTTCCCCTGTGCAGTCATTGTGTTCATTGTAATCAGCTGTTTCCCCATGTGTTTCCGCTTCATCACCTCCTGTGTGTATTTAGTGTGTGTTTCCACTCATTCCTCGTCCAATCGTCTGCTTTGTTTCCATGCCTCTAGGTTGATGGATCCATGTCAGGTCTTCAGGTTTCTAGGTCCTTGTTCTAGTGTTTTTATATTTCGCTCACCCAGTTTAGGTTATTGTTAGTTTCTCCTTTGCCTTTTGTTTTTGTGCTGTTTACCAGCCTACAACAAACAGCTCACTTTCAGCTAATATTAAGTCTGTTTCCACTATTATCTATTCACATCCACACAGTTTGCTTCAACCAGACTGTGACACAAAATCTCATTGGGGCCATTAAGGCTTGTAGTTGGATAAGGGTTGGGTTTTGACTTCTAGCCTGAATGCAAAGAAAGGAAGTGATGTCACCCACCTTCTGCCCATTAGGGCCACGACTTCCAGGTAGCCCCGGTTGTCCAACAGATCCATGTTCACCCTGTGGGAGGAGCAGAGCTGCCACTGTTCACTCTATTCACATCATGCAAACACTGAACACTCTTTATGTTGCAGCCACTGGAAATACTTCTAAGCCTTTAAATGTCTAAGACCTTTAAAGCAATAATAATATTAAAAAACCATGTTGGTATTTTTCCTCATGCAAAACTCCCTTTAATCAGACACATGCTTCATTAGGAAAACACAATCAGTAAATCATAATTTAACTCGTTGGTCAGTGATGCATGAATACAGCCTAGTTGATGAACTCACCTGATTTCCTGGAAAACCAGGTGTTCCTTTGGGTCCAGGTTCCCCATTGTCCCCAGCAGGGCCCTGCACGGTCAACACAGTTTGATAACTGGTGATTATTTACACCTCTGCTCTTCCAATCAATGATGACTGATGATCACTGATGGATAGTCTGCATAGCTGTAGACTAGAAGTCATCTGTAGTGTACATTGATAATAATATATATGTCACTACACTTTATTTGTATTGCTTCTAAAACAAAGAAGTGTTGAAAAATAATAATAAAATTAGGAAATAAAAAAAAAAGAACAAGAAAAAACAAGGGCGCTAGGATGTCAATCCTGAAAACATTCCATCAAAAAATAATTACAGCGCTATGACAAACATAGCAAATCAGCGTGTGGTTGTCTGCATGCGCCTGCCAGAATCCTTTCTACGGTCAAACCTCATGACGTCATGCATGATGTCATATAATTATGTATCGACTGCCTAGTACAGATGCCGGGAGTCTACGTATATATAACAGGATACTGGAGTCAATTCTCTATCATCTCACACGTCTATTTAATCAGTTTCTGTTTGATGGTTATTCAGCTGTGTGACAACCCTGGAGGAAACCACCCG